TTAAGAACAAATTGTGGATTGAACCTGGTTTGTTGCTAGCCAAACCTCCCGCTTTTATGGTAATGTTATATATAACATTATACTGACAAGATTACATGACAGGACTACAATACAAATAAATGGGATAACATACAGGAGAGAGACACATACCAATAGTAGCTATCAAAAGGTACCAGGCTTATAATCTAATACGCCAGACGCGCGTGTCATCTACAGAAGACCCATCAGTGATGCTCAGAATAAACAAGTTCAAAAGCCAAAACAATTACAAAGTCGAAGAGCATTGAGGACCAAAAGTTCCAAAAAGTTGTGCCAAATACGGCTAAGGTTATATGCTTGGGATAAGAAAATCCTTAGTATATAGAAAAATGTATACTTTTGCCAACAGTTAATTTATAAAAATGACTAACTACAGAATAAAAACGAATACGTAAAACGACCTAAATCAGCACATAAAAAAGGCACAGCCGAACAACGTATTATACGTTAGCCGAATAGATCGACGCACAATGTGACGTCACATATAAATTTCTATAAATTTCCAAAAAATATGATAGAGTTGAAGATCAGGTTTGTAATACCGATGTAACATGTATTAATAACAATGAAAATTACAATACTTATAAATATACAATTGTGGTAGTAATTAGATAATTAACTGTATTATCAAGCTATGTCGGTATTTCTTCTAAATCAAATTGTAAACCAAATACATCGTATAAATCTAGTTGACCCAAACTAAAATCTTATTAATGAACTGAGTGATTAATTATCTTTACCGTATCACACAAATAGAACAGAAAAAATAAGATTTAAAACTACAAACGATAAGACATTTGACAAAATCCGAAAAGAATAACAAATATAACATCAAAACTAAATACATGGATTTTGGAAAGAAAAATACCGTGACACGTCTTATAGCAATGCGAATTCACACTCAGCAAAACAGTGTATAAAAGGCCACACAAAACAAATTAGGCCAACTAAATAAATATGATAGTTACAATATCATAACAGTATGTTTCAAAACATGTGTGGGTTTACTGATCTGTTTCTACTTCATTTCCAGTGTATAATAGGCCACATGGTATGTTATCCTTGATTGTTTTAACATACTGACAAATAAATAATATAACTTTAGACATATGTAACAAAACGGAAAAAGAAAAAAAAAAAAAAAAACAACAGTACACAAACACTACATCGAAAACTAAACACTGAGCAACTCGAACCACACCTAAAAGGAGGGGGGGGGGGGGGGGGGGGGGTTGGGTATTTATCTTATTTTAAGTTCTTGTTTGTTTCTTAATAAGTTACATATTTACTCAAAAAATGTTGAACAGGTACTTATACTACTTTTCACCTAATTCCACCGTAAGACTTTACAAAACCTAACAAAAACATGAGTTTTCTTATTCTTGATCGGACATTGTTAAAGAAATTGAGCTTGCATTTAGTTTATACGCTGTAATTGTATAATGATATACATTTATACGTTTCACTTCTCGTTGACTATCAGTTATCGTTATTGGACTTAGAAAGCGACACTTAATACAACTGTATTCTATAATTCGAGTCTTCTTGGTTGATTTTTTTAATTTTAATCATGAGTTTCGCCCTGATTGATCTATGGTTCTAGGACTTTCATTGAATAATTGTGGAATGATTACATCATCATTTCATATCATTTGACGTTCAGTTAGGTTGACATACTCTTGACCTGATAATGGTGACATCTCCTTTTTACATAGAAGAAAAGTCATGAAAATAAGAGTGTTCAGACTTCCAACTGTTTTGATTTAGCGAAACTGATGAGTCTAACGATATGTGGAACGGCATAGTAGTTTAAATATTGTGTTGAATGATCCCACCGGCAAACCACCTCGGCCGCCACGACTAGAAAAAGAAGTTAGTGATAAAATTTAATTAACCGATGTATTTCTTGAAAACTGTTATAGATACAGAAAATCTACAAAGAAATAAACATTGCCGAAATGATAAGTCGACTTTTATTAGAGTTATTGCCCTAAACTAAAGATTTTTACGAATTTTCAGAGTTTTGTTTTGCTATACTCTATAAGGTCAAGATCACTATATAAAAGATGAGGATCAATGTTTAACAGCAAAAATGACAAATACATGAACATATCCGAAAATTAGTCCACTTTTTATTGGAATCATTGCCCTTCAATGTCAGATTATCATAATGATCATGTTTACCCATTTTCTTGGGTGGGAAACATAGAAGAAAGAAAACAATTGTAAACAGGAAAAATGATCTATGAATTTCTTTACAGCAAAACAGCGTGGTTTCTTAGAATTTTGCTTGTCACAACATGTACACATTTAGTAAATAAACCTTTACGTTACATACTTTCCTGTAATACTCTGATCCGTCTCCCTATAATTTGTGGGGCTGAATGTTTGGGTTTTAACAGTTTATCTATGTATCACTAGCCTGTCAACACTGAGGTTGTATGTACAAAAGTATAACAAAAATACTGAACTCCAAGGCAAATCAAAAAGGGGAAGTCCATAAAAACTGACAAAATCATAAGCTATCAATCAACGGAACAAGTGCAAAACAACTGCCATATTCCTGATTTGGTACAAGAAAAGAATACGGTGGGTTAAACCTGCTTTTATAGCTAGCTAAAACGGCTCCCACTTGTATGCCAGTTGTTTATAGTTCCGTTATATTCACAATCAGGTAAGCAACCAATTAGAAAAAAGAAGTTTATTTCAAATCTTTATTGTCAGTTTTCCTGTCGAAGGTCGGTAGATCTCTCCGAGCAATCCGGTTACCTCCACCAATAAAACACTAACAATCAATCAATCAATCGATTATTTCCAGAATTCTAACACTAAATCCTTTGTAGGTATACTGAAACATATGATCTGATATTTGTTGACATACAGATATACTAGCTTTATATAGCCCATATACTAGCTAGAAGTCTCAGATCGGTTTTGTGTGGCATCTTTCCCTATTCTATCAATTGTAATTTTTTTAATCTGTTATTTTTTAGTTTGTTTTTATTGTTATACTGTTAAATGAAACATATTGTATGTATTGGATCTACTCAATATTAAAGGCCATTCAATAGCCTATTTTCAAGGCCATCAACTGGAAATAGAACTTCAGGTTACTGATGGATGCAGTTGAGGACTATGCTAGAAAATGGGTAGAGCGCGAACCAGACAAACCAGAACTGGAGACTTTGTCTGAATGGATCAAAGCTGTTCGATCATGCATTCAGAAGCGCATTTCAGAAACTACGATTTACTATGAGCACAAGGGTTTCTAAATCATTCAAGAACCCGGAGGTTGTGAATGCTTTATCCTCTTTACATGACAAATATGTCGTTGTTCCAGCAGATAAAGCCTCCAACAATATTGTCTTCGTATGTAAAAACCATTATTTGCAATATCTCACAAAAGAACTTGCAATAAATAGCACAACTGGTAATCCAACATATTCTGTAGCATCATTTAAAAAGGATGAAATTTTAAAAAATCACAAATATGTCCTTCTTTCTTCTGATATTAACTTCAAAGAAAACGAAGAACATCTACTGTCATTATACTGGATACCAAAACTTCACAAAACTCCGTATAAAAAACGTTACATAGCTGGATCATCAAAATGTTCGACTAAAAATCTTTCTACTAAAGTGCTGACTACTATCCTTTCTACAGTAAAAGATGGCCTTAAAAAATATTGTGATGAGATGTATTCAACCAGTGGTGTCAATCAGATGTGGATTCTCAAAAATTCTAAAGATCTACTGCTAAATCTTAGATCACAATCTCTGCGATTTTGCAAAATTGTATGAATTTCAAGAGTATATATATACGTCACAAAAATACGTTAATGTTGGTGGTTTGATGTGCTGTTGTTAAAGGAAGATGTCCGTCGTTATTCTGCGGTTTACATGTTGAAATGTACTATTATATTATTTATTTATGCGTTTCTCTGTGCTGAGTGTTCTTGCGTTTGTTTGTATTGTATTCCTGTCACGTAGTGTTGTCATTTTAGCGATATTTTTTAACATTGCCATATAAGCGGGAGGTTTGGTAAGCCATAAAACCAGGTTCAACCCATCATTTTTTCATAAAATGTCCTGTACCAAGTTAGGAATATGGCAGTATCTAATAGTCCGTTTCTATGTATGTTGGCGTTTGTATTTGTTGCAGTTCAATGTTTCTGTTGTTCCGTTTTTGTCCTCTGATAGTTGTTGCGTTCCCTCGGTTTTGGTTTGTGACTCGAATTTGTTTACGCTTAATGGATTTATGACTTTTGAACAGCGGTATACTATTGTTGCCTTTATTCATGACATGACTGCAATCATCATCACGTAATCGCACAAGCAGTCCCTGAATATAAAGAGGGCAGACAAAATGTCAGGATTAAAAGGTAATAAGAAATTTTGATATTTGTATACAGAGATATTCTTTTGAATACCTTTAAAATTTTTACAGTCGTTATCAACATCGGATATGAAAACGAAATATTTCTAGTAAACACTGAAAACGATATACTAGTATACGACGTATGGTTTAGATAGGCAACGGAGGAGATCTGTGCGCACATTTAATTTGTTTAACTGAGTACAAAGTTAAGCTACATGGACCTTAAGTTGTTCGTTGATGTTTGGCCCTTTATAAACGTCAATGTTATTTGTAGAACATGTAGAAGTCGGGTGTTGGTGTTTGATGTGGTTTATTGTACTTTCCAATATATTTGATAAAATCTTGTTACCCTTCTTGTGTATCACTCGAAATAATCGTGTAAGTGATTATGTTTGAATTAGCGGCAGTGAAAACGGTTAAAATATTTTGTCAATTGACTGTAGAGTACGTTGATGTTCGGTGCCTAGATGAAATAATCATTTTAAAATTGAATAAAAGCCAGTCTTTCTGCAAGTTGCATGTAATTCTATGAAACGTTTGAATTTCAAATTTTTTTTTAGCATATGGATTAATTTTTCAGAATCATCATTATCATAACATTCACCTCAAAATACATTTGATTAGAGCACTTTTATATATCATTTACCGTTAAAATGTTAATTACTAATTTTCAAAATTACAAATTCTAAACCATCGCATTACACACTCGTCCCATAAAATGCATTTATATACTCCAATCACTACATTAAAATGCATTTTGTCTTTATTCGCCCATATGACTGAAGAAGTTTAATACATTCTTTATTTCCATCTCGTTTTAACAATTCTAACAGTTTGCTCCCATTCTTGGTAGTATGGTGTATATCAGCTCCTTTATAAATGAGTAACTGAATAGAACTCTCTTTGTCAGTGTTGTATTGGCTTCCACATACATTTTTTAGGGCAAAGTTAACGTCAGCTCCATTTGAAATGAGAAGGTCAATAATACTTTCTAATTCTGACGACACACAAAGATTTAATGTAATTATTTCTTGTCTGATAAAGCATGCCCATGTCAGTGGACTCCATTCAATAGAATCAACTTTGTTCACATCGGCACCACATTTTATCAATAACCTAGTTGATGCTACATTATTGTGCTTGAAAGCCCGTATAAAAGCTTCTCCAGTATCTGCTCCATTGTTTATCAGTAATTCTGCTAGATACTGATAATCTATTTTACATGCAAGTGTTAAAGGAGAATCTCCTTCTTCATTAGTTTGATTCAAGTTTACGTTCTTTTCAATCAGCAGTTGAATTATATCAAAATGTCCAATTTTTGACGCTTCAAATAATGCCTTTACCAACTCCTCATTTCTACATTTTCCCATCAATATTCTACAAAATGAGTTCCCTACTTTCTCATGGGCAAATTTAAGTGATTGGAAAATGCTTGCCCCACCTTTCGTCACTAATAACTGAAATATTTCGTCGGTTGAATGCTTGCAAGCGGTCATTAAGGGAGTGAAACCATTTTCATTGCGTTTATCAATGTCAAATTCAAACTTAAGAATTTTACAGACTGTATTCAAATCATTAGTGCAACACGCGGCATGGAGAGCTCCATCTATACTTATACCGTGCTGGATAAGTAAGTGTTGTGTGTTTCTGTCGTCTTTGTTACATGATTCAATAAAAATCTTATTCAAATCGCCACCTGCTTCAATTAAAGATTTTGTTAGAGTATTATCTCCCATTTTAACAGCAGTCAGAAGATCGGTATTAACAAGAGACCCCCGTTTCAATAATAATGAAATGATGGCTTTGTTGTCGTACTTACACGCTCTCATCAAAGGTGTCCACATATTTTCATCTTGATAGTGAATATTTGCACCATTAGAAAGCAATTTGTCAACGGTGCATTCATCGCCATATTCACATGAAATAGTCAGCAATCTATCTAAATTCCCTACAGTTTTCGCTAACGTATCAACGATCCACGTATTATTGTCTCGCATGGCGCTGAAAAAAATTGTTTCGATATAGGCATCTTTTTTAATTAGATAATTAATATTATTCATATTTCGCCCTTCTAAAGCCCATCTTAAAGAATTCCAACCATTTTCATTGATGTCATTGACATTCGCTCCTCTTTTTACAAGCAAAATAACAATATCTGTATGAGACCTGTAACTTGCCCACATTAACGGAGTTGTTTTGTTTTCAGACAAAATATTAACATTCGCTCCTAATTCTATCAGAGCTCTGGTAATGTATATCTTATTACCTTGACATGCTGACAGTAGAGCTGTTGAAGGATCAATGCACTCTGCTAACCAGTGCGTATTTCGTCTGTCTACAATTCTGTGGTCAATATCTGCACCATTTTCAATTAAGAAATAAGCAAAATCAGTTTCATTTAATCTACAACTTTTGTATAACATTTCATTTAGGTTCGGCATTGTACCAAGCAAGAGCTTGCTGGTGGTAGTTTCCTTAATATTAAAAGCAAGCACTAGCTCGGTGTATACATTTGCCCCGGCTTCTATCAAAAGTGAAACTAGTTCTGTGTCATTGTTTAAACATGCAACCCTTAAAGCCGTTAATCCATCATAAGAAGACATATTTACATCGGCCCCTTTCTTGATTAAGTAATGAGTAATTTCAATATTTCGGGTACGGCAAGATATCAAAAGAGGAGTGTAACCGTAATTGTCGAACCCGTCTATCAAATTTGTACTTTTCTCAGTTTTCCCGTCAATTTCCAGAAAACTTTTTTGATCATCAATTAAAAAATCCACAGTTTTCTGATCGTTGTCAACTATTGCATGCACAAGTTCTTTCAATTCAGAAATACCATTGCGGAAAAGCAACACAATAATAGCCTTTTTATCTTTATTTAATGCCTTTTGTAGAATTGATTTTCCATCGCAAGAAATATGGTTCATATTTGCACCTTTTTGAATTAGCACTGAAGCTATATCAATGTTATTGTTTTTGCAAGCCCACATAAGTGCTGTCCATCCATACTTATCGGGTTCATCGATGATTGTCTCTTTATTAATTAAAAATTCGACATTTAGTAGTGCAATTTCGTTATATTTAAGGTCACGTTTATCAATATTGATGTAAGGCTTCTCATAAACACCTGTATCGATACAAAACGCAATTGTTCTGTTTATTACACCCATACAAACTATCAAAAGAGCAGTTTCACCTTCCTTATTGGTTGTATTTAAATCAGCCCCTTGATCAACTAATAACCTTGTGATTTCGTAATTATTGCTAAAACAGGACGCCATCAATGGAGTCCAACCTTCATTATCAGCTTTATTACAATTAGCCTGGCCCTGTAGTAGAATGCATGCTAAAGGTAAATGTCCCTGGGAACATAATTCTTCCAAAGGTGTAACTCCATATATATCTTGACAGTCTATTTCGGCTTTATTTTTAATTAGAACATTTACTACTTCAGTTTGTCCTTCTGTACAAGCCAGCATTAAAGCTGTTCGACCAAGTTTATCTTTCATGTTTATATTAACTCCTTTATTTATTAGAATATTCACAATATCTAGTTTTCCACATTTACACGCTATCATGAATGATGTCCACCCTACGTTATTGACCTGGTTAATGTCAGCACTATTCAAAATAAGAATCTCTACAACACTGGTTATTCCATAATAGCATGCCCACATCAGTGACGTCCATTCATTGTTATCACCTTTATTTAAATTGGCACCTTTATAGATTAAAAAATCAAACATTTTATCCGCAGAGCGTTTACGAGACCACATAACCGGTGTTTTTCCTTCGTAATCGGATTTGTTTATATCAGCGCCATGGATGATAAGCAGTTCTGCAATTTTAATGTTACCACTTGAGCATGCCCACATCAAAGGAGTTGGACCTTTGTTTGTTCGTTTGTTTAAGTCAGCTCCTTTATCGACAAGTAATTTAATTGCATTTTCTTGTTTACTTATGCAAGCAATAGTCATGGAAGTATGACCACTATTATCACGATAGTTCACATCTGCTCCTCTTGATATCAATAACTCTAATAAGCAGCAATGACCAGAAGAAGCTGCTGCATTCAATGGATGAAAGCTTTGGTCAAAATGATTATTTGTATTGTCTAATATAAATTCTGCTAAATCCCGGTAGCCTTTATAGCAAACAATATATAACGCTGTAACTGGATCCGTTCCTTCATCAAATGTGTTGTCTTTGGTTAAAAATAACTGAGTTAGATTCTGCTTTGATGAATCTGGAGATAATGCATAAATTTCGATCTGTAGCTTCTAAATTTCATTTGATTGTTACAGAAAACATCATAAATTCTTCCCTGTGTTATGTCTCTAATAATCCGGATAAAAAAATGAGTTTCATTATCTATCTCTATCAAGATAGAAAACGTATCATGTTCTTCTTTCAATGATAAAATATGTGTATGGTCTCTAATAACTTTGCTATCAGAAAAGATTATGACCTCTCTTTGTAAGTGTTTTCCAAAAAAATAACATAGAAATTCGAATAATTTATCATGAATACAACGGTAATAATTTGCTGTCTTTTTTATATATGTATTTTCTAAATATTCATATTGCCGAAATATTAATTTTGTCGGAGTTTCACGATTTAGCTCACAAATATCGAAAAGCTTTTGAAGTTGGTACCTGGTAAACTTAGTCTGAGTTCCGTAGATTTCTATTTCGATATCGTTTGACTCATCAACTAGTTCATAACCGTTCTCTTGTAAGCCTATTCGCAAATATTTGTCATACTCTTTATCTCCCCTCCCTACAGAACCATTTAATAGAACACAAATTAACAATGCACAAAATTGCAACTTGTCTTCTTCTTTAATAGCAAACATGTCTTTTTCAAAAATGTCAAAAGGATTACTGAAAAACATTAATGCGTCAGTTATAGGACGTGCAGTATACTGCTGGCACATTAGAGGAAAATAATCCATCTGCCCTATATAACGTTTAATTTTTTTAAAAATATCTTGCGGTAGATATTCATTTGCAATCTTTTCTTTTTCCAAAACAGAAATACAATAACTCCCAAATGACAAATCACAGAAATTTTCGCTAAAAACTTTCAAAGTTCTGAATCGATGATCTTGAAAGACAGAATAGCGATTTGAGGTCAAGATTTTAATGTGACCTGAACTTAAAATAGTTAACTCTTCTGATATATATTTTTTCCACTCTCTGACTTCGTTTTCATCAATAGTAAATTTTCCACAGAGATTGTCTACTACAAAAACAATATTTCTTCCCTTTCTAAAATGGAGCGGAATGTCGGCTGGACGGCAGCATGGAATGATAATGTAGCCCTGTGTATCTCGGAGTTGTAATGCTATATGTTGTAACGTAAACGTTTTACCAACTCCGGGTAATCCTGTGACATGTATACTGTTGCTTGTTTGCAGATGATCCCATATATATTTAACTGCATCTGTTTCAATAAAACACGTGTCGTTTCTTTCCCACGTTATTACTTTTGCTTGGTGCGAATCTGAATAATCGTTATAATATAATTGATTAAAAATAGGCATTAACGTATACAAATATATAAATCAATTTGTTATTACGTTTTGATTCGAGACTCTAAAGTGAGCCAGTTCATAAATGACCTACATTTTCATTAAAAGCAATTTTTAAAAACAATTTTACTAAACATATAATTGTATCTCTTGTTTTACTAATTATACTTTATATAAACCAAAAAAATGTAATTGAAAAAAAAACCTTTTTCAAAACATTTTTTTTGTTATTTGATTTGCATTCCATTCTTGACTCCCTTTATCTATAACGTTCTTTAAATCCAATTTGTTTCTATCAAGTTTCAGTGATTTCGGTGGACGGAGTAGTTTATCTACTGTATCACTGTTCTGTCAACACAGAGGTTATGAGTTCGAGCCGCGCACATGGCAGGTGCGTTCAACTCCAATCTTAATTGACTAGGATTGTCAGTTTTCCTACCGGAGGTCGATAGTTCTCTCCGGCACTTAGACTTCCTCTACCAATAAAAACTGACCGCCGGAATACCCAGTTGTGCTGAAAGAACTATTAAACACCAACAATCAACTAATCTATCATTCCATCTATCGAGTTTGTACCTTTACTTATACTTATATTCCTCCAAACCTCTCAAATATACACAACGTTTAAGGTTCATCTAAAGGAATTGAAAAATATGGCCGTGTTTACAACACAAAACATACTCCGAGTACAGACAAACCGATGCATCGAGGAAAGTTTTAAGGCCTGGCTGGACCTAGATATATAAACGTTATATGTAGTGTATTATTAAGAAAATAAAAAAAACTTATCTGGATTTTGATGTGCATTTTTCCAGTCTGTAGAAGATAGCAAAATAAACTAACACCTGAGTTTCATCTGATACGGTCCACTAAGTTACACAGTTTAAATCACCTATTGTTTGGAGATATCTATTGTCCATCTATTGTCCATTTAAATCAATACAACTCACAACATGTATTATATGAGGGGGGCTTCTCAAACCTCTTTCCCATGGAGGTTTGTCTGTACTCATGATCAGAGTGAAATTTGTGGTGTAAATACGGCCATATTTGCGAAACAGTTATGATGAACCTTAGTGCGTTTCATTTCTTAACTTAGTTTTGTTTTTTCTCTGAATTGTAGATTCCTATCACATATTGTCTCATTTCGAACTCTAGATAAATATACGATATTTGTACATTGTCGTAAAATACAAAATTCATTTGACTATGTTTTGAAATGGTACAAAAAGCGAGGCTCACATGTCGTTTTTCCTGTTACGTATCGATTAGAAATTAATTATATCTTTCCGACAATGTATATATATATATATATATATCCAAGATCTTTCCCGAGCCACCTGTACTGGCTTTCCGTAGGCCCAAAAGCCTTAAAGACTTGCTAGTGAGAGCTGATTTATCCTCTCAAGCAGGCTCTTCGTCTGTGGGCTCTTGCAAGGGTTGCGGGAACAAACGATGTCTGACTTGCAAACAAATACTGGTTACCCAGACTTTTAACAGTCACTCCACTGGTACAGAATACACCATATTTTGCAATGTTAATTGCAAGACTACAAATGTTGTGTATCTCCTACAGTGTAAATGTGGTAAACAGTATGTTGGCGAGTCAGAACAGCCGTTTCACAAACGAATGAACGGTCATCGTAGCGACTACCAATGCAAGCCAGACCTCCCTCTCAGTCGACATTTGAGATCCCCTGGCCACACTAAGGCAGATCTCAATCGACTGACCATTACAATCATTGACCACAACTCTGCTTGGTCTAGGGAGGATAGACTCACTCGGGAAAGATTTTGGATAAGAAAATTAACAACTTTGGCACCAAATGGGATAAATGAAAAGATGTAGTTCGACTCCATGCAGTGCTTCACATTTGGGTTATATTACTTATTATTACAGTCTCTGTTTCTATTTCTTTACTTTACTCATCTCTAAAATCTGTTGAATATACCAATTTAAATTGCTTATTTTTTTGAGGGATGTAAAAGTGCCAAGCCACGTTCAACTAGTTAACCTTAGTCAAAATTTATTATCATATTTTAACGGCCGTTTGTTTACGATGTATAAATACGCAGACTCTGTTGTAACTACTCTACCGTTGTCAAATTTGAAATATTTACAAATTTAGATCGTTCAGTGCTGTTTATTTGGAATTCTTATTGACGCAATCGTTCTTGTAACATCATAACTGTCGTCACCGTTAAAGCTTTAGAATTGTGCTAGTTCATATCGCACATTATTATTTTTATTTAAAGCATATATTTGAACTCTCTGCTGTAATTAGTCATATAACCTATGTCGTGTTTAACACATATTTAGAATTGTGCAAGCGTCTTACCTGATGTTCGGTTTGACTTTTTTTATTGTATAAATTTCAAGATTGTTATAGTTTAATTTAAGTAGACTGATATATGATGCATTCTACATCACAATCATATTTACTGACGAAGGATATCTGTTATCCGAAATATTTATAAATAATTACATTTATAGTTCCTTTTTTTGTTATTGGTGTTGTTGTGTACACTTTTTAGGCGTTTATATATATATATATATATATATATACATCGAGCAGGAACTGCTGCTACTTTCAAAGGACATGCTTTCAACTCCGTGTATTGTGTACTGTGTTGTCTTTATGAAACTATCATTTTTCATTTTGTGTTGTACTCGTCTTGCTTTCGTTATTGTCTGTTTTTTTTCCGTCTATTGAATTTTGATTGTTTTTTATGTATTTTCTTTTGTTTTCACTTTAAGGAAGAAATACATTTGTTATTTGTTATTTTGTGTCTGCGACCATTTTTTGTTGTTAATTGATGAAAGGAATTTTCTATGTTGCTTCATTGAACATATCGACTTCACCTCCTGAATTCAATTTTCCTCATACAAACTTTAATTTTACAGTTTATGCAGATACGAAGCTCAAAAATCTTAGATTATTTTACTACTGAACTTTAACATTAAATCTAAGATTTGCCCACCATATTTTAAGGTATGATTGTACCAAATAAATCGGGCTTTAAATATTCATAAAACATGATCAAGTATTACCTAACCTACACATACAGCTATCGTGTAACGCGTTCATGTAAAACAAATATAACTGAATTCGTCTTACGAATTTATTATATAATTTCACCTTATGTAATAATACTGTACTTTGATTCGATGAGATAAACGGTATTTTTCACAAATTTTCTATAAATTGAAATTGTCTTTTCTCTGCCGGTGTATTTGTCATAAGGAAATTCCATGTGCCGGGGTATTTGCTAGCAAATACCACGGCAGATGGGAAATACCATGTCTTAAAATAACGCGACGTCCAAAGACCTCTAGACTTTTCGTTGAGATGGATACAAAGAACATTCGGTGTAATTAAACAGTTATATAATGCTTACGAGGTCTAACAGCTCTGGAAATTTGTTTACCTCTCAACCGGTATTTTTCAATCCTGGTAAACCATCAAATCTCACCCAAATGGTTAAGCGAGAAAAAAGTCTACTGACACTTCCTGTTGAGCTTTTCTGGTATGAAATATCAAAAATAATGATAGGGTAGGTCGACTTTTCGTCCATTTGTTGTTAATTTGTGAATATTTTGTTAAAAAGGAGAATGTCATGCCATAGATAAATGAATGAGAGCTTGTTACGTTTATTACTCGGACCAATATAATTTGAAATGACAACTGAATTACTTTTCCCCCGCAGGTAAGTGCGGCCAGCTCAGTGAGGTTTTGACAAAATGACAGTGAGTTCATCAATAAACACGAGTGTCATTCGGTATATCGAGAAAAATGATCGTGAAAGAATACCAAGTATTGCGATTGGATCTTGAAAGCTCTGGTATAGGATCGTGAAGGAAATCTTATTGAAAAGACGTATGCAAGGTCTTTAAGTAATCCAATTTAATGAATTATACGAACAAACTTACGAAAAAATAAAACTGTCTGTCAAAATGGTTCAACATAATGGTCAGTATCTGAGAAAATCAAGGTTTAAAAGTACACCATTTTTACAAAACTTAAAAAAGGCAGATTACTCCTCGACATTTCAATGACATTAAATATGTAAACAAACAAGATTTTGTTCATAATTCGAATGACAAAACAACTTTTCTGTGAAACAGTCATTCCATTTCAATGATTCAAATGGTTCTTACAGTTATTTTGTGTAAGCGTAATCAAAAATTTTGCAAAAAATGAAATTTTAACAAAAAAATGATTTTTCGGATCGTGAAAGATCGCACACCGCTTTTTGAAGATCGTGAAAAGGATCGTGAAATATCTGATGCTACGGAAACGTTCAAATTATTATTTAATTATAGGATAATTTTTTTTTAAAATCGGTATAGGAAATACTGGATTTGCATGATTAATATCGGTTCTCTTTTGTTGGTGAATAGTGCTATAATACCACAACGACCAGGTGCCTTATAGCAATATCAATCTATTTGTCCGTTCTTCATAAGTTTTGATTTCTTATACAAACATAAGATTGAGAATAGAACTTTAAAATCGACCAAATTACAGTTCAAATTGGGCTTCATGCACAATCAAGGTACGTTGATGGTTAATTTCCGCACTAAGCTGGGTACCATGAAGTATAACTATTATGAACAGACTAATCAAACAATCAAGTAAAAATAACGCTATCTTGGTACGTTTTTATTAGTTTATGTGAGCGCAGCCAAGAAATAAACAATTAACTAACCAGTATTGTCATACTATGTACGCACGAAAAACACTCCGTATAACTGAAAGTAACAACCCTTACACACACAAAAAAAAAAATGCGTACACATGTATATATTTCCTGGAGGTGCATTAAGCATAATAGAAACATATATACTTTTACTTTTCGACAA